ATTTTATTCTCCTCTGTTTCTTTGGGGAAATGTATGATGAAGATATTCCTACATTGTCATCCGAAGATGGTGTAGGGTGTGGCTCTTCCTGGCTACCAAGGTGGGTCCCCAAAGAAGACACAGTCTTTGGGATCACATGACATTTCCCTGTTCAGGGCTTTGTGAATCGGTACCAGAATCTCAAAATGGACATACCTGGTGACAGAACCAGTACATTTTGTGGTGCCTGATCTACTGAGGAGGTGAGCACCAGTGTCTGTGAGCTGCAGAATTTTTCTTGCTTTAAGGCAGAGGGAGTTACCAGCTAAATGTTTTAAGTCTGCTGCAGTGCTATTATTCCTACTGTTACTCCAGTGGCTATTATTGCTACCACTACTAGCATGATCCAAGAGAACTGATCAGTGCCTTCAGGTTTGTGTTCATCAGTGAACAGTAAAATTTTGCTATAAGAAAAAATAAAATACTTTTTAGCCCACTTCAGGTAACAACATTTAAAAGTACCCACCACCTTAAAAAAGCAGAATAGAACACTACACTTATTACTAGATTCTGCATAATTTTCACCTTGCCATAAAATTTAGTTTCACATATGCACCATCCTGAATTAAACCCAGTATTTTCTGAGTATTACCGCTCTCACTTACATACTAGACATTCTTTCATCATTTTAGTTCTGTTTCTGTAGTATATTTAATGCTTCCTAGACCTATGTTTAGTCTTCTAATGTGTCAAAACTAATTATTGTTAGAGAAGTGTGAAGAGTGCTTTTAGCTTCTGTTTAAAAAAGTACCAGAATAGATAGTTAGTTGAACTTCCTAAATATTGGCTTGCTTCATAAAGTCTTGAAAAGATGTAAAAATGAGGAAAAAAAAATTTGCTATTGTACTGATTAAGATCAATATTGAATGTTGATCAATATTGCAAAAGCAATAGACATTCATTGAAATCCTACACTAGGTGAAGATTTTTATTCTGGATCATGAAAATATGTAAAATTATTCCACTTTTTGTAAAATCCTTCAATCTTTTAATATAGTTCAGGCTGTCTCTGGGTTAAATTATTCACTCATCTTTCATAACAATAACTGTTTAACTATACCAGTCTAACTTAAAAAATGAACAAACAAACAAGCGAAAAACCAAAACCACAAATGGCTGTTGATGTCAGGACTGTTATTCTGAATGTTATTCAGTTAGAAGTTATTTTCATAAAGTCCGTGGGAATTTTGTTAATATGAAAAGGAAGTCTCAGACAGCAGTAGCTGTATTAAAAAACTTTCTTCTTAAATAGAGGTTTTTTAATTTGCCACAGAAATTAATGGAAGAGAAGATTCAAGACTTCAGACTGGCTGTTGATAGGGACTTCTGTAAGTTTACAGAGGACTTGCTGGCGGAGGGGCTGATAATGAAATTGATTCACTTCACAGATACTTAGTATTCTGGCAGAAGAACTATTTGTTCTGGGAAAAGTCTCAAGCATAAGAAAGCAAGTCCCTAGCATAGGTGAATCAGAGCAATGTTTCTGCTTCAGTTACCCCTTAAAACAGTGAGCATTCACTTTGAAAAATCTGCTCTTGAGGCATAATGATAATAGGACACAGAATGGCTCTGGCTGTTTTATGATGCGCAGGCCTGTAAATGTATGTCAGCACTGATTATCTTAAAACTGGAAATGTGCCAAACTGCTGCAAGAAATTTATCTAATTAACAAAAGTGCACTGAAAGGACCTGTTATTAGAGTGGTTTGGTGATTGCAGGTGAGTTGTACACCTGAAAAAGATTGGAGTTTATGTTTGTTTTATAATAAAAGAACAATAGCAAACCTAAAAAAAAAAAGTTTGTAAGGCCCCTCTTAATTCATTCTCATTCTCTACCCCCATTATAAACTCTGATATTGCCTTGCATGCACATCCATGTAGTATAGACAACCTGACAAACTTCAAGACTGTTTTGGTAAGCCGTGTTAGTACTTTCCCTATTAGCATTTTGTAGTGAGTAGGCTGTCAATATGGAAATTTGCCTGCAAATGTCAACGATCCCGTGAGGTAACTGCTTCCAGAAAGATACTAATAATGCCTTCTGCATTAAGAACTCTTTTGAATTGGTAAGGTATTTATGACTTCTTTGTACTGCAAAGCAGCTTGCAGAACAAATAAAGGTAAACTCTCTGAATCTCCGTGAAATAACTGTGAAAATAATGAAAATTTAACAGACTAGAGTAAGACCACACTGGGTAGTAGTGATAGGCATACAGGGGACACGTTCAAGGTGGTGCAAAGAGGTCTGATACACTGTACTGAAACAGAAGTATTTACCATTTTTTTAACACTGTGTGGACTAAAAAATTTGATTTTCCTTCTCCAGTAACTATTCCAAACATACCAGACCTCAGAAAGTTCTCTATTTCTGGTACGCTCCAGCCTGTGCTCTTCCTGCATTTTTGCTCCCTTCCTCTTAGATGCATTGTGCCCCCTTATAGTGTTGAAGATGGCCCTGCTTTGAGCTGGAGACTGGACCAGCAACCTCCAGAAGTCCCTTTCAACTAAGATTTTTCAGTGATCCTATGATTATCTGATGATCACAACTTTTTTTGCCTTCTGGCAAAAGCTTCTTTGGGAATTCTCTAGTAGTAAAATCTTCAATTCCTTCACCATAGTGAAGTGAATCCGCTCCCAAATGAGTTTATTAACCTTAAGCCTTTACTGCAATCTCTGCTTTCCATCTCCTTTCTATGCTTTTGTGTGCTCTTTTTATCTTCTTTGTGTCCTTCCTTTAATTGATACCACTTTCTAGTTCACATACCTCACAAACTGTGTGCGAGAGCCTCCTGAACAAAGCCTCAAGAACAAAGCTTCTTTGAGCCGAAGATCACCTCTACATCATCTATGGCTAGATATCATGTTCTGTAATTGTAATTACAGGACTTTTGTAACTGGATTGTCTGATGACACTGACAGAGTAAGTTACCTAAATGAGTTTGTAAGCTATATTTCAGTGAGCAATAAGAAATATTCAATCTCTACTGCTTATGCTGTTCTGCCAAGTCTCATGACCTACTTCCAGGGAAGGACCAAGCATCTTTTTGTGTTAATACTCATGCTGCAAAGGGTCTCCTGGAGAGAAGATTGCTTCCTTCAGTAATAAGAGCAAAGGTAGATGAATGGATCCTTTCTCCTAACTGCTTAGTGAACAGTCAAGTGAAGTGTCATTCTTCCTCACCTTCACTTCTTATATTCCTATTATTTTAACGTTCCTTAAAGTTTTCCACTAAAAGTGTTTTCTAGCTAGTGATGGAAAGTCTTCATCTTGCATGAATGCAGTTCAGATGATAGCCTACTTCAGTGCCTTAGTTCACCTGTTATAAAGATATTAATATTTTTGAGGTAAAACTGGAATTACCAGCAGTCAAGGAAAATTTGAGCAAGAAAACAGAATTTGCAAGTCTATAAATGTCTACTAAGTGTGTTCTTCTAACTTCTAATGCTAATGTTGGGAATAGGAGTTCTTATATTAACTAAGTTAAATCTTCCTTTTCTGTTGACTTTTTTGATCTCCTTTCTATTCACATTTTATGGTGATAATCGACTAATTTCCAAAAGTGAATTGAAATCTTCAGGTGAACATAGATATATTAGTTAAAAAGCAAATGTGAGATATCTGAAGAGAACTTCTAAACCCCAGGCTCGTTAAATAGTATCTCAGGTGAAAACAAAGAAGTATAAATCTCTCACTTTGTCGAAAGAAACTTCAACATTCTCAAATATTCTTTCACTGGGAGGTTACATTACTGGTGGCTTTGAAGCCAAATATGTGTCTAGTGTTTTTCAGAATTCTGAGCAGAAATCATTAGAAGTGTGACAAATCTAAGGCATTTTACAAATGACGCTTTTTCACAGAAACATGATGTGGATTAATTAAGATCAAAATAACCAAGGTGAATGAAGTTTAGACTACTAATGTTTCTCTTTTTTTTTTTTCTTCTCATGAGCACACATGGGGACATGCCCTTTCAAAATGTCAGTCTGTAAAACCCCATTCTTCCATCTTGTTGCATTTCAAAGACTGACTTTGCTGTCTTCTACTGGTAGTTTCATTTAATTGTTGACAGTAGAAATGAAGTTTGTCATCTAACCAATTGATATTTATACCCCCCTCAGAAGGTGTATTTTAAGTAATTATACATAGTTTTAATATGTAATTCTTTCAACAAAATAAAATTTTCTTAGCAGTAAGAACAAAGGAGTTATGGATTTTAAAAAACTGTGGATTTTCCCATTTTATCATGGAAAGTGTATTCTCAGTGAAAGGATTCTATATATTGTGCTTTTTGAGGGTGAACTCTCTTCGAGGGTGAGCTCTCACAAAAGCACAGATCATAGCCTAAGACACTGTTACTTAAACATTGTTTCTTTACTGGTATGTCACTGCTAAAGCAAGATTCATTAACTATGTGTAATAGCATAGTAACTTGTGAGGAAGCTGAACTCAATTTTGGGAAAAGTTTATACATGCCTATGCATTTACATTTTATTATTTTGGTATTTTATTTCCTAAACTTTTTAAGGGACTGAGAAAAAGGTTTTAATATTTTTCATATTAGATTTTACTTAACACTGTGATGACACTTCCACATTCATTACAAAGCAATTGGTCATTTCTTAGGATACAGTGTGATAGTATGCAATAACTCCAACAGCATTCTCCCACTTAAGTTCCACAGTAACTTGCATTTTTATTGATACGATATAGCAGTGACTTAAGACTTGTATGCCATACTTTTCACTCTTTTTTTAAAAAATATTTTTCAAAATATGTTTTGAAACATATGAACAGTTAATGAAGCACATCAAACAACATCTTTTAGTATCTTGCTACCTAAATTTCTTCAGCGGTATCTAGTTCTCATCCAGTTATTGTGTTAAGAAAACTTGTCTAAATTGAGGATGTCACAGACTATTGAGTATTTCAAAAGGCTTAATACCCCCTTGTGTATTTTGCAGACAATCCTGGGCTAGTGAGTCACGTTCCAGTTGGTATTAGAATCCTGGACATCAATGACAACCCTCCAGAGCTCGCCAGAGAGTATGATATAGTTGTCTGTGAGAATGCAAAGCCTGGTCAGGTAACTCTCACAGTTATTTTTCTCCCAGTGAGAAAGAATCATTACTTTATTTGTTAATTCCACATGTGGTAGAAGTTTGGTTCGGGGAACATGTGTCATAATTCCTTCTATTTCATATTTGATTCAACATTTTAACTGTATTAGGCTGAAGGGAGAAGATTTGGGAATTTGTTCAATATATCTTTCTTGTTGCTGCAAAAAAATACCCAAACTATCTTCAGTAACAACAGGCAAAACTTTAATCTTGTCAGATAAGTGATGGAATTTGACAAGCCCCCATCCTGAACAAAATGGATTAAGCAGATTTAATCTCTCTCATCTAAGTGCCACATGGTAGCAAGTTTCAAATACAGCCCAGTGAAATGGCTTGTTAACATGGCTGCCATGCTCAGTTTTTGCATGTTGATTGACCTTGTCTGTGTAGGGTCATTATGGAAAAGATGTTGAATGGGTTTTTCACAATTATGAGCATGGGGAGTGTCAGAACTAGAGACTGAATAGCTGAATCACATTCCAGCCACAGTGTCTGTGATCGATGCACTTCATTGCAGTCCACTGTTTCACAATTTTACCAAATGCCTTTGTTTTCTTTTGCATAGATTGAGCACAGGTTGTAAGTTGCAATTGTGAGCTCATATCTTTCCTGAGAAATATATTACTAGTAGTAACAGTTTTCTCATCAAATCTTTAAAAGCAGTGTAAAATGCATGGTAGCATATTTCCATTTTTAACATTGAGACTACAAAAATGCTGTACTTCATCAGACTACAGGCTGACCAAAGTTATCTTGACTCTAACAGTGGCCAAAAGCTGATACCTAAAGAGCAGTATAAGAGCACAGCAAGCATGTATGATACATACCCCAGGTATGTCCCTGGTCTCAGATCATTTTCAGATCATTTCCTGATCCAGATGTGGTTTCTATGTTTATAATATTCCTTTAATAACCATCTCATATGAATCTGTTTAGCTTTTCCTACAACTAAATAAACTTTTGATGCCTGCTGCCTCATGCAGCAG